ATAATGAATCTTCCTTAATGAATGCATTGTCAATGGGTTAAATATTTCTCTTCCCAGCTGTTTGCCTATTTTTGGTTAAGAATAGTAAATTTCCTTCAATTCTTCGATTGCACGTTACGTCATCGCAGCCATGTTGGTGTCATTTAACAAAATATTTCTCATTAGCATCCATTGTTAACGGTACCAAAATGGCCGTCATGTTTTTGTCTCTCGACTCTCTTGGAAATGCTTGCAACCCAACAATATCTAGTGCCAGGGTATTTAATCCTAATCCATCATTTTCTGTGTCATTCCCTAGAATATTATTCCCTTGTCTAACGGTCGTTCATGAGAAGACACATGAATATGGATGCAACACAAACGAACATTTTTATTCTCAAGAAAATGACACATGGTTGGCATAGAAAAAGAATTACGCCCAAGGTCTGTATAATATACCCTTCTGCCTTTAATTTTAGGTGTAGTAGTATCATTTCTTTGTTTAACGGTTCAAAGAATTTTACACTCAAGAAAATGACACTAGTTTGAGCATTCTATAATGGGAATATTATGCCCTGTTGGATTAGGTCCATTAAATCTTTCCCAATATTAAATGGTAGTAGTTCTCGTTGGGTTGCTACTAAAATTATTAAGTTACAAATCTATATAATAATATCCGTGCTAATTGATAGTATCTAAATAATCGTTAATTCACCATTTTCCATACATCGGTTCACTGGTCAAACACAAAGCGCTCAAGCGAGGCGCCAAAGTACTTTCAAACGATTATTCAAATTTGAACCTTGTAACCTCGACTAAATGCTTTGTGTTTGACCAGTGAACCGATGTATGGAAAATGGCGAATTGTACGCGCCGCATAAGGTAGCATTCATAATTTATGTGGAGCTATGGGGATAGTTTATATTTTAAAATATTTTATTTTGGAACAGCTCCAACCCAAACATAACATATTTTCGAGTGCCCCCCCCCCTCCCCCCCACCTCCCTAAATTTCAGTAGACACTAAATATCAAAAATATTTTCTATAAATTTCTCTAATTTTGTCCGGACAAAATGGCTGCCCTCTTCAAACCACCATAGCCCCCACCCCCTCCCCCCATAAATTATGCGAATGCTCCCTAAGCTATTTATCAGCGATAATAGGCTGTTTTAATAAAAACAAACACATGCTGATATGTTACTGTATAATTGATATGTGTTTATTAAAATAACGAATGCATTCAGCCAAAAGTCCCTTGCCAAGTTGGGGAAGGCTCTACTTATACTGACAAACGAAACTATAATTTGCTTCGTAACTTAAAATTAAAGTATCTTAAAGGGAAAAAATGTTTTTTGGAAAAGGTTTTTGGTATGACATTAGCAAACTTGGATAGGGATTTTTTCTACCATCCAGTAACAGTCATGTGATCATATATCCTGCGAATGACCTATTTCGTCCCGTCCTAAGTTATCAAATTTTGGAATGACAATTTTATGTACAAGAAAAATTGTCCTGCATTTAATGTAAAATGTCTGTTGAGGAACAGTTATTCTTGAAGCCTTAGAGAAAAACAGCATGAACCGATAGACAGAAAGACAGATAATAAGCGCATTTCAAATTTGAATGCCTTATTAGCTTTGTCTTATCGGTTTAAAAGACTGAGGGGATCATCGTTCCTGTCGTAGTCAGGGAAGAGGCTATCGAAAGTGTGACTTCCATTCATCTAAGCGTCTAGATTTTATTTTGTCCTGAATAACCACGACAATAGCAGAACCAACGAAAGGAGGTTCGTCTTTACATGAATATTGAACTAAATACATGCATTGTTTTGAAGAAACGTATGTCGAAAATCTGTTAAAATTATCGCAAAGGAGTGACGTTGTGGAGAATGTAGGTCTGTCATGGCGCTGACATTGATATTGCTCGACAATTTACAAGAGATGTATTCTATGCTTTAAAACCAATTCATGCCTAGTCGTTTAGCCCGTCTCAACGACTGCTGTTGATGTTAAATTTTAATGATTGCTTAACAGTGTCTGACAAAACAAAATGCGCGGCAAAATAAAAGTCAAAATAGCATAGGTCATCGCTTCACCTCAAGGAGGGATGATAAACTTGAATGAACTGATAAGGATCACTTACTAAAAATGGAAAGAAAATTTTCGTGTAAAACCTTTCCTGCGAGTAAGACATAGGTGTTCCTAAAAAAATGAGACATAATTAATAATTGCTGGTCGAAGTCTACAGAAACAAAGGGCTAAACGAGGATACAACATACGGACCCATGAGGCATTTCATCAATACGCAGCTTGATCAAAAAGAAATTTAATTTTTAAAATCAAAGCCGCCACAAAGTTCAAATAACACAGTCTATTGATAATTATGATGATTAACTGATGAATATGGCTGATTTCAATCAGGAATGACTGATGGTGGCGGCAGGATAGAGCAAACGACTTGACTCTCATACTCCTGAATGGCGCCAAGGCGGTAGACCAACTACACTCCATCTGAAATCCAAGGCAACCACAATCAGTGAATCAGTGTTAAAATATTTTCAAAAGCCATTGTCTAAAAGTAACTCGAGTTCTGACTAAAATTGAGTTAAATCCTTAAACTACTTTAAAGAGAAAATAACACCAAGATTAGAAGACACAAATTTGTCTTGATTATAGATAGCCAATCAACGACTAGTATTTAGATTTCAGACCATCAAGACTAAGAATGCGGGTCGTTACTATATAATTACGGCAAATTAAAGATCCTTTTAGAGTAGGATGATTTATGGTTTTGAAGAATGGCATTTATCGAGGAGTATTACTGATTAAAAGTCAACGAAATATTGTGAATTGACAGATTTGGAACTGTTGGTTCCTAAACCTTTAATCTTGTTGAGTATCTTGTCAAACTATGGCATAGAACCGCAACTTGCGCACTTCGGAAACAATGTCTCTAGTTTATCTCTTCTTGTTTGTTACTCACAGACGCAAAATATTCCTCCCCAAATAATAACTGCTGTATGCGGTGACATGAATACCTAGTAGTTCTTCATGGAAATAGCTCTTATCTCAGCGATTGGGCTATCTTTAAAGATCTTTAGAGATTAGAGTACAGTTTAGATACCCCTTCGTTCAATTTAAAATGTGCTTTTTGTAATTCTGATAGAGACGTTGGGTCTTATGTCAATCGGTATCAGCCATGTAAATCAGTCAGCTTTTCGAGGTCTGACATTGCATCTTAGCACTAATATATAAATTTTCAACGATAAACGACATCTTTTCCCCCCGTCACCCCTGAAGTCAACTTCTTTAACTCGTGTAAATAAGTGAGATCGAAATCAGCTTCGCAGGTTATGGTGCCCTAGGGAACTTATCCCTTTGAGGGCCCACATCCAGAGCTTTTAAAAAATCGTTGGATAATTCATCACGGAGATTTCTGATCGTTTTTTTATAACGGCCGTTGTGTCGCCATTCGAGTTGTTTGTTCATTATTCCTTGAGGCCCAGCATGTAAAGCCTTGCTCTGGAGCCAGATTTTCATGAATCCAAGGGCCACAGTCATACTAAAATGTGTCGCATTAATAAACCATCTTACGTCGAGGACTAAAAGATAGAAATAACAACGACTAGGAARCATGCATGTGAGACCCTTAAACGGAAAGAAAGAATAAATAAAACAATGGAAAAATTGAATAACAATAGAAAGAGAATAACTGGTATAGGAACTGATATTGTGTTTGTTTTTTTACAAAACTGTATATGTCACCGATAAATCGTCCTGAAAGGATTTCCTGCCCAAGGGTTTTGAATATTTGACGTGTTTCTCACCCCTTCAAGCTGCCAGTCAAATGTATTTCCTACAAGGGTTTTTATTTCTTATAACATACGATTACGTGTAAATAAATGTGTTTTGCGCCTCAAGTGGACTAATCAATCAATTTTTCTAGAAAGGTTTAAGCAGTTTTGGCTGGGCGAACACGAAAACTCCTTGGACTGAATAAAGAGAAAATCAAAAGTAAAATGGACAAATCTGACGAGAAGAACTAAACTCTAACAATTGCAAATAAACACAAAACTTTATCGGTGTCTTTTTTCGTTTTTATTATTGAAAGCTGAAATCACACCTTTGAGTTGATTAATACGTACAAGGATTAGTTCCAAATTACAAATTAACCAACATCTTTGTACATTGTGACCGAAACACAAAGTGTATCTATTTCTTCTCTTAATGAAGAAAAGATTGTGAAGACATTTGTATCGTTTTCCTCTTGCCAAAAGATTTCAATCTTCATTCTCTAATCAGCTAGTCACTGCACAAGCTTATCTACGATTTACATACTTTTTCTATTACCTACAATTAACTTCCTCGCTTCTAGAACACTGTCGATCCAATGTTTATTTATTTGTCATTTAATTCGTCCAAAACTTATCGCTATACTTCCCGACGACTGGGAGAAAATTCCCGCACGTTTTCAGGTTCAGTTTATTCCTTATAAGAAAGATACTTCTCAGCGAATTGACAAAAGTCTGTCAGTTTGAAGGATTATAGCCGGTTACCAAGGAACATGGATGCTTTTTCAAAACTTCGCATTAAATTGCGATTACAAACCCTGGAAAGCGTCTAAATAATTGATTTGAAAGTCAAGCCAATTTGTCAAAAAAAGCCTGAAGTCGATTGATACGGAAATTTTCCAAGCCTCGGACCGCAGTCATTCTGTGATTCAATTTGTGATTCATGTTGGCAAGATAATTCTATGAATATGAACGAGTTCATATCCGTACGGTGAAATGCTGGAAAGGATTCAAAAGGGAATGCATGCCCCCCTCTGCAATGTTGGTGTAAACAAACTGGCCAATAATCCGAACGTTGATATATTTAGGACAATAGAATTAACCGATGTTGACTTGTAAAACAAAAATTCTTGATGTACACCTGGTTGTTTAACGCGTGAAAAACATCCCCTAAACAGCACAGAATATCAAAGAATTAGTTTCAAATGGCCCTTGGCCTTAATTTTTCCTCTAGAATATATTCATAGGGACTTAGAGATGGTGTTTTTGTAGAAGGTGATGGTGCCTTCACAAAACTCTAATACATCCTCTGATGTTTAGACGCTTCTTCTCTTTGTGCCAACATGAAAACCGATTACTCCATGGCATTATATACAAACGGAAAGTATTTTTAAAAGATTTTTTTACCATAAAAAAAAGTCTTCGAATCCTCCAAAAACACAGGTGACTTTTGTATCCGGCTTGATTGACAGACGGCAGCTTCCAAGACCTCTGATTGGCTTCCTCGGGCAATTACCGCTGAGTTTCAATTCTGCATCTGACTGGTGCGCGATCGAATAGTGTTTTACGGTGTTAAAACTGTTAAGGAGTCAGGCATTGAAGGTGGTCTCAAAATTGTGCCATTCAACTTGGTCACTTTGTGTGTCTATTATTGGTGACTGCCGGCCGTGTTAGCACAGTCCTCCTGAATACTACACATGTGGGATTGTTGTTGATGTGCAGGTTGAATAGGACTACAGCAAGATAAACATGGGCTCTGTTAAATCGTCTTTAAACTTATTTATTCTCGACTTGAATACTATAAGTGTAATGTTGGATGTGTAGTCGTCATTGGATAGTTGTTTGTTGATGTTCGGCGGCAAAACTCTTAGGCGAATAGTCTAACTCATCATGCCAATTCGAAGGGGTCGATTTGCTCCGCAAAATACGTTCCTGGAGACGATTGCTCAGAAATTTGACCATGGAAGTGAGTGCTTTAAACTGTTTAAAAAGAACTCTAAACGCGTTTCAATCAGACACTACTTGGCTGTAATAGTATTGAGTTAAATCAAGGGGAATCAATGAAGTATATTCATTTGAAATGTCTTTATTTATATTCGTATTTTTTAAAGGAAAATTCATTGGCTGACGAGGGAATTTTAACTGAAATACTTCAAGACGTCTTCACTGTATATCATAATTTCTTTTAATTTTCCATCTTTTTAATCTAACAGATAGTAACTTCGTATTGGGAAGCGCACAAGAAAAGAACGACTACCCGATAGTCTACTGTAGCGATGGTTTTTGTGAACTAACAGGATTTTCGAGAAGCGATTTGATGCGACGAAGTTGTGCCTGTAACTTTCTATACGGCTTAGAATCCAATCAGGATGACATCCAGAGTATAGAAAACGCTCTAAAATCGCAAAAAGAATTAAAAAAAGAAATCCTGTTTTACAAGAAAAATGGTGAGTAAGTTGATATTTTTATTTCATGGTTTCTTTGATCGGTAATTAATTCTTCGTTTTAAAAATGCACATTTGAATTGTTTTGGAGGTCGTAGTTTTTGTTATGCGATTTAACTTGATTGATTTTCAAAATATACCGATGCGTTGTGGCCAAGACAATAGAAAAATATATCTCCGGCACTAATGGAATATTCCGAGAGCCCCAACAGGTTTGTTCTAGTCTGGAAAATCAAAATGACTCTTCGCAGCATCAAGTTAAAAAACACGAATAATATCCGATTAGATTCTCATGTACGACTCAATTAAAATGGTGCCTTCTCTAGGATAGTACTTCAAACAATTGAAAACAGGTCTAGTCAAATTTACATACTGGATCGATATGACTGCTTGACTGTAAGCGTACATACATACATCGTGTTCATGAAATATTTAAGTAAGAACTACAAATAATGAGGGCTAAAATCAATCGGCCTCAAAAAGACAGAGTATTCCGATCAAAATACTAAGTAATTCTTCTGATAGACGAAACACGTGTGTTTTAAGTCTAGATTTTAAGGAAGTAAAGTGGAGAGTGATGTTGTAATATAAGAAGATGGGAATACTTCGAAGAGATAATATTCAAGGGATGTTTTTAAGGGAAGATTAGGTTGTCTTTATAGAGTGGAGAATAACAGTCACTCCAAAGACAACCAACAATTTACTACTAAAAATAACCGAATATAAATCAGTAAGTTAGCGTTAGTTCGCACAAAGTGCCACCTAAAACCAAAACCGCAAGTTATAAAAATAATTTCGTGTTCAACTAACAAGTTATTATATGCCAACGATATATTTAAAATGCTATTTCTTTATTTGAATACAAAGCTTAAATGAATCCTACTAGTTGGACAGTCGTAAACGGAAATATCTTTTTAAACTGGAGATAACTAGTGACTCACTATAGACACTCTTATTTTTACTGGTCGCTTTTCGAATTGAAATTAAAATTGTACAATACAGCTTTGTACAGTGACACTGATTTTTGCGACAGCGAGGATAGAAATTGGAAAGTTTACGAGTAAAGTTTGCAGTATGTCCTCTTGATATTTCGTTCTAATTTGCTCGAAATCACATCGGTTTTTAAAGTAAGAAGTTACAAGTCTGTGGTTTGTGTGATAGCACTGTGTCAACGATCAATAAAAATGGTGATTTTTATGCCAGATTGATTTGAATCAATTCAACGCGTGGTAACTGTACAAGTACCACGTACGAATAACGACTTCAAACCAAAAATGAGCGTTCGTGCTTTTATTATTATTCAACAACAACACATGACTAAATAAACTTGGAATCAACTGTACCCTGCAGTGCCAAGTTTTCCACTGAATAACAGAGGTTAACATATGCAATTTGTAATTGATAGCAAAAATCCAAGGATGTTTATAGTTTCTTGCGTTCTCGTTTTTGTGACTTTAACGCCCGTGAAGACTAAAAGAATAACACAGACTCAAATGGCGCAGGATTGGTTTGGGAATTCGCTTGAGCGAGTAAATTATTTGGTCGTTTGGACTACTACTATAAGCTTTTTTACAAGCTCAAAGCAAATCAAACTTGTTCAGTTGCTAAAGGAATAATGACAAATAATGTCATAGGAAAGGAAAGATTGTTGAAGGAAGGAAAGGGAAACTCAGTTTGAATAGAATGACAAATTTCGTTGGATTATGCCAAGATTATACAACTGAAAAATATATTAGAATTATAAAAAAAAAAAAAAAAAAAAAAAAAAAAAAAAACCCAA